CGGCCTCAAGTATGATCTCGTGAGAGATTGGCCGGTCCGGCACTATACCGGAGGGTGTCTCAAAAACATCCGAGAACTCGTCTAACAACCGGGTCACACGGGGGTCAGAAGACACTTCTGTGGACGATGAATCGGTCGTCGGGACGGTTCGAAGCAAAGCGATGCCAATCTCTTCGACATGCTCGGAACGGCATGCGTCTCGAAAAGATTTGGCACTCACGACTTGGCACCTAATGGAAGAGCGAGGAGGAGGTATAGTACACGGGACCTCGGCGCCAGTTGCATCACGAATCGTGAGCGTGCGTCGATGGAAATTGACCGTGTGGTCCGTGCTAGAAACCCAAGGCATCCCCAAAATGACATTGAAGTCGGTGTCCAACACGTCAAAAGTGACGGGTTCACATGCGTGCGGTGCAAAGTACACCGGGACTTCCGAGATGTAACGGTCTAAAAGTTGTTTCGTCTTACCGTCGGCAAGAGCGACCGTCGTCGGATGTGACTTCCTCCGTACTTGTGCGCCAAGGCCAGCCCGAGTCATGAAGGACTGGCTGATGAAGTTGCGAGTTGCGCCGCAATCTAGCAAAGCGTTGCAGGCCGCTTGCCCAATCTGAATGCGAACGTAGAGCAACGGTGCGTCGTTTTCTTCGTACCGTTGCGAGACAAACTCGCGGGCCACCTTGGCAACGTAGCCAAGCATGTCCCCCACCGCGACTTCGTCTACCGTCGGCGAAGTTGGTGGTGCATGGAAGGAAAGATACTGGTGTAAGAGGGCGCATAGGGCTGCGATTTGCGGCCCCGGAAGGTTGCCCGTCGTAGGGAGAGGAATCCAAGCGAAGTCCTCGGGCGTGAGCGGGTCCAAAGCCTCCTCGTTGAACATGCTTGTCGAATCCCTTGATGAAGACGAACTGGCGGAAAAACCTTCGGACGGTGAGAAAGCCGCACATGTATCTTGCCCTTGAGAAGCACCCAGTGAAGGAACGAGCCGGGCAGCGAAGTCTTCGAACGAAAGTGGAAGACTCCCGACATCCGCATATGCCTCGGAAGAAAGGGCGGTCGTGCGCACAACCGCTTCCGATGGCGTCGAGGGAGGTGTCGAGTCACCCTCGGCGGCGCCTACATTCCCTGACGGGGTTTCCCCTTGGTGGGGCAATGTGCAGCATCGTGGATGGTGCTGTTGCACCAAAGGCAGTAACAGTACTTGAATCTCGTGCGATAAGAATTCGCCGAGAGTCCGTATTGTGCCCAAGGTTCGTCGACGCCTGATCCGGTGCTCGGTGTAGAGGTGGACTGAGTCTTCGTCTTGTCGCGGCCGTGGTTGTTGCGCGGCCGGCCACCATCCCGGGCAGCTGCAAACACTTCACCCTCGTTTGGTGTTGCAGCCTCGGTAGAAGTAATGCAAGCCACCTTTGGCTTGGGCTGGGTGCTGCTCGTCGTCGCGGAAGATCGTCCGGCGTAGCGGGCTTCGATATTCGTGAGAATGATCCGTGACGCGGTGCTGAAAAGCTTGTCGGATGTGTCGAGTGTCTCTGCAATCTGTGTCAGCGCGTTTTGCAGAGCTGGACACGAGCGCATGATAAACAAGTGCTTAATGGCGCGGAAAGCAAGCGGCAGGTCAAGTGTGGAGGCGAGTCTTTGGAACTCGGTAATCCAGTCCTGACTGAGCAGCGTGTTCTGATGGAGCTTGTTGAGCTTGTCCATCGCTTGCAGGTCGGGCGACTCCACTTGGAATCGCTTGTGCCAGGCGTCAGTCAACTCCTGCCAAGTGAGCTTGGTGTGCAGTTCCGACA